CAACATATTAGCAAAACACACATACGTATGTGTAGGTGTGATTCATTTTCAGGCACATAACTATAAAGCCCAGATCTGGAGTTTTTTGTCCTATTTCTTTTTAAACGGAAATTCAAACTTATTCAAGTCTTTGTCAATGATCACTTACTCTTAATAACAGCCAACCATTTATGCAGTTATTCATTGAATCTGTCATGAATTCTTAGACAAGGATAACACATTTTCTATTCTGCTTTCAGTACACATTCCAACTCATTTAACACAGAGAAAAAAGAATGATCTTACATTGGCACTGATATTCTACAGGGGAAGGAATTATTGCATCACATTCCAGTTTTGACAAACAAATCTATCTGGGGAAAAAGACTCTCATTCTGGAACTTCTGGAATTTGCTAACCATCATGGATTGCTACATTCCATTGAATTAACAGAGAATGATTGAGCAGGCATCTGTTTTCCTCAAAAATTTTAAGAATTCTGAAAATGTTGTGCCAACTTTGGTATTTAAAAAATTTCTACAAAACAGAATGTGAACTACCTTGTTGAAGAAAGCACAAAGGAAAAAAAAGACTTCTGCAGATCGCCCAGAGAAGAGCAGGAAGATACTGATTGCATTTTGAGTACATTAAAGTCAACATTTTGAGCAGATAAAGGTTGAAGTTTATAAGTCAATGACCAATAGCACTTCAGTCAAAGACTACAGAAATAAACTTTTGATAAGATGGGAGCTGGAAATAGGTATAGGTCAGAGAGACACATATTCACCATTCTTTATGATCAGGCAACAAATATAAACACAACCAAAAGCATTTAAAAAAAAAGATAAATAATAAATACACCTGTAAAAGATAGGGTTAAATTTAGTTTAGGGAGAGAACATATCACAGTGAACTGTCAAGTTAGGATGTTATTATTTCCTTACTGCACCTCCTCTTCAAAGTGTGGTGTACAAAATAACGGAAAATAATTGTACACCAATTAAGACATTAGAAAAACAGAGTAGAGTGTCATATGGTTCCATTTACAGTTTGGCAGTTGCATTCTGCATCACCTACAGCTTCTAGACTATCTTCAAGAATAACTGCTCAAAGAGCATTACAGTAACCCACTTTTGAAATTATTAGGATAAGAATAGTGGAAGTAACAGTACCTTATCCCAGAAAAAATAATGGCTGGAAAATCAACTGAAGCTACGTGGAAGCCCTTTCCTTCACTGAAATCACCATTGCCTGTAGTGACAGCTTTAAATCAAGGAAGCACTCAAATGCCATTTCTTCAAATACAGTACAACCTGATCTGTCTTCCTAATCTTCAAACTGAAAAACCACCTAGCACAGCATCTCAGTCATATCAGGATTTAGCTTCTGTTTATTGGCACTCGGGCCAGGGATCAGCAACTTCTTCAGGTCTTGGGCCACACTGGAAATTCTTATGTGATAGTTAAGCTCCCCTAAACCCTCAAGATTTTAAAAGATGCAAGTACTGTGAGGTGTTGATGTTCTTTTGTGAGATTGGCCCTAGGACCAAACCACTCATATAAACCAAGTTATCACAGAACATCGCATTCTGCAATAGACTAACATGCAAAGCAACCCACTCTGCTATAATGGTTAAGGTATTGGACTGGCACCAGGAAAACCCAGCTTCTAGTCCACTCTCAGCCATGGAGGTTTACTGGGTGACTTTGGGCCAGTTACTCTCATTCAGCCCAACCTATCTTATAAGGTTGTTTTGGAGAAAAATAAGAAGAGGGAGTACTATGAACATTGACTTGAGTTCCAGAATGAAAAACCAAGATGTAAATCTATTAAACAAATAAATATTGCAGATATATTACCAAAGTGAAATAAAATATGGAAGCTGAGTTGTTTCACAAATATGAAATATAGAAACAAGAATGAAAATGAAACACTCAAAACAAATTCAGAACTTCAAAGTAAGTCAGCAGGCTGGGGATGAAGACTAACATTCAACCCAAGAGCAAATGCTGCATTATTTAACCAGAAAATCGCTGTGTTTCAGCATATTTAACACTCGATCAGCAAGAATTGGGAAGTTAAGGATAATGTTAATTATTTGGGAAAGATTACATGTAACTATTGTGGCATGCTTATTAAAGAGGTGGAGTAGGAAAGGTCTTACCAAACCAGTCTTCAAACTGGTTAAGAAACTAGGTGGGAGCATGCAAGCCAAAAGATTCCAACTGTAATATATGTATTAATAAGCTGGAAGGCTGCTCTCTCTTTAGTAGTGAGGCAAAGAAAAAAGTAGATTAAGTAACAGTAGAGATGAAGGATGGGGGGGAATCCTGACAACTTACTTTCAGGCAAACAAATGGGAAAGTTCAATGAAAGGGCAGGGCCAAAAGGATGGAGACAGACATAAAAATACGGCAAAGCTTCAGTCAATCCACCATTCAGCACATGGCAGAAAAAAGCCGAGTGTTCTGCTTTGCATCAACTACATATGAGAAGGATTAAAGGTCATAAGTGGTTAATCCAAGACTTCAGATGAATGAGCAAGAGGTTCTTATAAACCCCAACTGTTATTCTCACTTCCAAGGTGATAGACGCTGAATCACAGAGCTGAACAAATTCTGCTGCTGAGGCAAACTATTTCTTTTTTCTTCTCCCCAGCCCCCCATGGCAAAATGGCAGAGGATTCAGTTTAGAACCCATGCGTTTTTTGCTTTTACCCTGTGAGCTTGGCAACATGAAATCATTATAAAGGGAAGCAACTATATGATTTGCAAGGAAGATAGAGATAAATGTCTCTCTATAATCCTCTTTAATCAAAAGACTAAAATAGTTTGTTTTGGCTTTTTTGCTTCGCATAATGTAGGGTCAAACATAGCAGTAGACAAAGTAAGAACCCCCTTTATGCTATAGATAGATGTCTGTAACATGTTTTTATGAGAGAACAATTCCAGCAAAAATGAACGGCATGGTGTATTACATGTATAGTTTCCCAACCCTCTTTTGTAGTGTAGTGATAATATACAGGGAACAGGGAGGATCACATTCTCATTCCCTATCATTTGGTTGCCACCCTGTACAAAATGCTACCCAAGGATGCACTGATAATCTTTACTACCACATGACTGCTACGAAGCAGTAAGGTTTTTCCGTAGCTCTTACCTGGATGCTGATCTTGCTGACATCATTCCCATCAATCAGTGGTGTAAACTAAGAGAGTATTAATATAAAAGCCACATTCTACATGTCTGGATTGCAGTGGCTAAAACCATTAAAACCTCAGGTCTGAAAGTATTAAAACAATAGTTCTCATGTAAAAAATATATAGCATTCAGGGTAGCTGGGAATTTTGAAAGTTGTATTCCAAATATACATGGGGAGCATCAGGCTGAAAATGGCTTTGACAAACAAAATTTGCCTTGCTGGTTGAGACCACTGTTCCAATTTATCAGAAACTTTATTTCCAACAGCCAGACTGCTTCTGAAAAGTTCATGTTTCTAGATGACAGTTCCATTTAGTTTTATGGATAATAACCATCATATAATAGCCAACATATATTTATGCAGAATGTCAGCTGACAGCCACCAGAAGCCATTTTCAGTAATTACAACTGAGCAGCTATGTTTTATTTATATATTATGTAAGAAATTTGTATCCTGACTAATTCCAGAAACCCCGGGTACTGCAACTCTATAATAAATATAGGCCATATATATGTAGGAAACTGATTTTTTAAAAAATCCAAAATAAATTATGTTTCCTAAGCATTACATTCCATAATTCTGGAACATAACATCAATCATAAACATCATAACTACACTAATGAAATTACAAACATATTTTCTCAAGTCAGCATTGTTTGTCTAGGCAAAAGCTGACAATTTGTATGATTTCTGAATCACCTCTGAAGGGGATAGGCTTATAAAGCACATGAAAATGAATGCAACTGTTTAGCCTTTACAGCTGAAATGAATGAAATGTTCTAGAGTTTCACAGTAGAAATATGGAAAATATAATGCCAAACTACATACAGAACTGATTTTCTACATTGTCTTCTTCTAGAAGCCCAGCTGAAGTCACTTAAAAGATTTGACTAATCAACATTTGGCCACCTTAAGCTATTGATCCTCAAATGAAATAGAGAATGTGATGGTCTGAATAAAGATCATGTGTTTTGTTCACTTGTGAAGAATTATTCTTGGGAAATGAAAGAACAGCGGCATATTAGGGTAGCATTTTGGGTTGATTATTGATTATTCCTTTGCTGAATTAAAAAAAAAAAAGGTCAAACTATTTACAAGGCAATGATGCCACTCATCTCAGAAAGAAATGTAAAGTCATAAAACTTAAACTTGGAACAGCTACTGTGCATTGTATAGGGCTTATGCAGATCATGCAAGTCTTTCATTCATTGTGAAAGAGTACTGGAAGTCCTCAAGGTTAGCAGGATTATCTTGAAATTTCTGCCAAGATTCTTATTTTTAAATACTACTTTAAGATGTAGTATTGTAATGGTATGTGGGAATGACCTTGGGAGACAGGGGAAGAGATGCTGCCTAGGGAACAATCAGATAAGAGAGGGTGTAGCTCGCAGCTGGATAACAGGCAGAGAAAGAAACTCAGAAAGGAGCCTTCCTAACTTAAGAGGGATGTAAATGTCTGGTCTCTATCTGGTTTCCTATTTCTTTTTGCAAGTCTGAAAGTACAAATCTCCCACCATTCTTTTTACAGCCTGATAAGTTAGGGAGGTTCCTTTCTGAATTTCTTTCTCTGCCTGTTATCCAGCTGTGGGCTATACCCTCTCATATCTGACTGTTCCCTAGGCAGCATCTCTTACCCCTGTCTCCCAAGGTCATTCCCACATACCATTACAAGTATTCATCTCCAGGAAAGCAGTATAGAATTTGAAATTTGTTACAATGACATCCCTTTGATTACAGCTGTTTGTTCTTCTAAAAAAATCCAACATGGATGGGAAAGCCTTCAAAAACCCCACCTCATTGTAGCATAGGACTTTACTCACCTTTTCTCCCAGAATTACCCTGTCCTAATGGCCGGTCAGTTACTGAACCTTAAAGAAAAAGCAAGTATATTACTATATGAGCAAAACATTTACAGGTATCAACCGAAACTCAATCTTATCTATAGGCAAGCTTCAAAACACCATGCCCATAGCAGCATCTAGACAACTGGAACCAAGCAGTCATCTAATCCCTACACTTACTGCTTCGCCTCCCAGTTCTGTATTAGGTTTGTCTTTTTGCTGAATCAAATTTGAAATAAATTCATGAATTACAAGGAAAAAAAAAAGTCAGGAAAACTGGCTATGGGACCAACCTGATGAAGGAATTGTAAACAGCATGGCCAATGAACCATGGTAATTTGGTTACTGAGCAGAACTATAATTAATATTAAAATTGATGCTATAGAGCCAATGCATATTTTTACCACAAATATGCAAGAGAAATGCGCAGTCTAGCATAAATGATTCTTAAGAGCTATCCTGTCCAACTAATCCCCAGAATAGACTCTTCTAGGACTAATCACTTTGGAATAACAGAAAAAGTTCGTACCAGGCTCTGATGGCAAGAATTTAAGTTATTTCATTCTTAAGGATTTTTGTAAAACAATAACGAGAAACAATGTACTGTTCAGATTGTTTATAAAAAGAAACATACCACTCAGACAGAATCAAGAAGCTAGTTTTACTATCAATATATGTTTAGCAGTAACTCCAGTTTGTATCTCTTGACTAGCAATGTTTTGGCCACAAGATGGGACAACCATGTGCAGAATACAGTTTGGACTGTGGAGCCGTATTGAGTTTTTAAAATTATAAATGCAAAGAGCTTATTCCTTTCAAAATATGCAAACCTTTTTTCCTCTGCC